AGCAATCCTGGTGTTAGGAATATGGTACTGTACTCCGTCACCTGATACCAGTTTCTTTGATGAGTCTGAATAGTTGTCTACTGTTGCCTATCGCCGTCGCCTTTTCCATCTCTTTCGCCTTCGCAACCCACCACTGTTCACGATCATTGAGTAGGCTTTTTATCAGCCTGCGCCTGGGCTGACTCCACTCTTCATCGTATTCAGAGCCAGGCGGGATGAGCTTTCGAGCATCCATCAGTTCCGTCGATGCTGCTGAAATCCACGGCTTCTCCCTAACCTTACGGTTTACCTTACTAGCAGATATCACTGCTGTTTCTACAGCTTTTTTGATATCATTCTAAGCTGTCTCAGGGTGAGCATCACCTATTACATGGCCGCCTAACTGTTTTTATAGTTGTTCCTGAAATATATTCTTAGCTTTATTATCGTTAAGTAGAGACATAACAAGTTTCCTTGCCATATCTTCCCTACGTCCAGTGAGACGCAAACAAATACGCGCTCGCACTAGAGCATGGTCTGAGTCTAAACAAGTGCTTCAGAATGAGCGGCAGTCTTCGATAGAGCGTCTCCGCCAATGGTTCATAGCGATGTGATCTAGTTGGGTGCATCATTGTGAAGACTTTGTGAGTAGCCAGGTCAAAAGGTGTTTTTCCTTATGCTTAAAGCTAGTATTTGCTAGAAATAGGCGGTTATCTGAGCATATTTGCAGCAGACGGTTGCCACTATCCGTAAATGTACTACGTTCTGTGTTATAACTGAATGACTGATTCATGGTTTCGCAACACCGACAAGCTGCACCAAGATATGTCAGAGGTTCATAAGACAACAAATTAGTTTGTCCTTCAGAAAGCCTTTAACTAACAACATGGAATCTCCCAGAGCTTGGAAGTGTTTGTTCAGAAACGCGGAAATCTATTAGAGTGTTAATAACCACTGTCTTTTCATTCTTTTCAAACCATATAAACTCTACTCTGAGAGTTAGGTCTTCATTTAGAAGAATTATGACGTTTCATGATGAAAGCCGAGTTCCTTCGGGAGTCATGAGGCCGATGCCCCTTTCGTCAACCAGAACCCTTCCACGGTGTGGGCAGCCAGGAAGTTACATCCGCCGTCATAGCCATGAAAGCACACGAGACCAAATTGGTGACAATCAAAAACCTTTCTACACCTCTTAATAACTCTCCTCGACCAACTCTTCCTTCGATCGTTTATCACCTCGCGCCACTGAAGCAAACGGTTTCAGCTCACGAAACGTTATTCCTGGTCTCTCGAAACCCCGTACTACATAACATATTGGAGCTTCTAATGTTCGAACCTTATGCCAAATAAGGCAACACGCTTCATTAGCTAGAACTCTGGAATCCCGAGCAGTCGATGTATGTTGCACCTGGTGACAGACGAAATCTCAGCATAGATACAGAAAGCTCGATTGACTTTTGCCAACCTACGTCACTTATGGCGAAGGCTAGATATCCGTTTGCTGACTAAAGTACATTGCATTGCTCAGTAGTTCACTCCGTCATACTTTACGGCTACAAAAGATGGCCAGTCAGAGTAGAAGATATTCGTAGGTTGCTTGTTTTCGATCATGAGTGTCTCCAAAGTATTGCTCGTGTAACATGGAACAACCAGTTTGCAATGCTGTTGTTTGGAAACGGGTACTAGGTAAGGATGGGAGATCAATTGATGAAGTATTGAAACTTCATCAGTTGAGGTGGTTGGGACATGTGTTACGTATGCCCAACCAACCACCGACTGCCTCGTCGAGCTGTTTTGCGATATAGGAATAGCTTGGACGAAAGCTAGGAACGGCAGACATGGCAGAAATCCATAAAGTCACTGACAAGTGGACTGAGTCATGTCGGTAGGTGTTGAATACCTGGTTCGGGTCCGCGAGATGATAATAATCGAGACCATGAGTGACATGGCTGAAAACCGTTTGCAATGGCGCAGGAGCATACATTCTTTTTGTTCTCTCAAGTCCTAACCTTCTGAATTCCTCATCACCTCTATCTTCTTCTTTCTAAATTTACCTCACTGAATGATATTTCCTGAATAACATCTTCGAACCCTGGTCTCTCCAATTACTTCTAATACTTTTACTACCTCTACTACTATGGGATTTGAATTGACAATTATATCTCTTTGCTAATGTGGTATGGCAACATGAACTGATGTACGTACGTCCGTACGTAGTTTTACGTTGCTATTGATTGATTGTCTTTCAATTAACGGCAAGTTTATGCGCTACCAGTTTGATTATTTATGTTTTTGTTAAGTAATTCTTAGGTGAAACGTATGCTTGGATAAAATAATTGCTATCAGTTTCCGTGATTACCTACTTGTGCAACGATTGCACAAGTTTGTTTCAGATTCCCATTAAGGTATTTTGTTCGTTTTGTGAGACAAACGTCCATGAGCAAATGTGCACTTAAAAATAGCAGTAATTCTTACAGTTGTTTATGGGATGATTCTAAATTTACCAGACTGTCAAATTTAGGCGGCATCCTATTACTTCGCTGTTTAATATGACTGTGATTAATAGTAGATAATCATAGTTTATGATTTAAAATAGGAATTTAAGGATGATTGTCAAATCCTTATAGTTTTGAAGTTTCATTACTCCTCTTCAGTCTAAAAACAATCGAGCTTTTATTAGTCATTGATATTTCCTGTCAACTATCTTTTGATTTATTAATTGATTTGTTATTTTAGTACTGATAGTCTCGATAATATAATTGAGAAATGGTACCCTGAAGTAAGGCACTTTTGTCCAAATGTCCCAATCATTCTTGTTGGTAACAAACAAGATCTGCGTAATGACGAACGAGCACATCATGAATTAGCCAAAGTTCGTCAAGAATTAGTCAAGTCTGAAGAGGGTCGTCTTATGGGTGATCGTATCAGTAAGTTTCCTCATTCATTATGATATCTGTGAAATTTCATGATATTTAGCTTTTTCGATTTGCTATAAAGTATTTCGCTTATACATCATTGCTACTTGTAATTAGGTAGCAGTTTGTTGTTTTTAAGGTAAACTGTAGTAACAAATAATATAGGTTTAACAAGTGTATGACGTATTTGTTTGTTTAGTTTTCATATCTCGTGAACTTTACCTACTGAAAATACTCAGTATATTATTTGTTTGTAAATTTCAGACTGATATTAATTTAAAAAACAGCATGTCATAAACAAATACATTCAAAACGTAACGACTATATGGGTGGACAAATAGTGGCGGAAAAATATGAGTCAAAAGTGCTGGTTAAGTGATGAAGTGATACGGTTTTCAGGTTACATGTTCAAATCTTATTTATTTTCTTACCCAGTTTAGTAGTATCACTAGTCCTCAAACAAAGTGTAGTTCGAACCCGCATACATATACCCCCTCAAACGGTTGCGTTGATTTTTCCTTGAATGCATTTGAATAGCAGAAGGATTAAGAAATATATTATCGCAGTAAGCCGTGATAGATTATTCACTGAGATTTTGAAGGGTGGTGGTCCAGTTTGAGCAGTTTGATTGAGATCTTAGCTAAAATCTGGGTACTGGACGTAATCCCATCTCATTGGTCTCAATCACTGATTATCCCTATCTATAAGAAAGGACAAAAGTCTTCTCGTGACAATCACAGCGGAATCAGTTTTACTAATACACTGTCTAAGATATTAGCTTCAATAATGCCCTAACGCCTGATGAGATGTCGTGAAGTGCAGGATCGAGAAGACTAACCTATTTTCAAACCCGAACATGGATGTGTAGACCAAATAATCACCTTTCGTCCGATCGTAGAACATAGACACATTCAGACGTCCGACAATACTTGCATTCCTTGACCTTAAAGCGGCATTTTACTCTGTCGATCGTGAGGTTCTATGGCAGTGTCTGTCATTGAAAGATGCACCAGAGAAGTGCATTAACCTTATACAAGCTCTACTCGGACGCCACTGGTCGATATGCTTTTAGAGATGGGACTTTCTTCATCTAACTTTTCAGGACTTGAACTTTTACCAGGAGATTCATTGGTTGACTTAAATATGCCGATAGCGTAGTTCTGTTGGGTGAAGACACTGATAAAATGCAGTAAGAGTAGAGGATATTCGTAGATTACTGGTTTTTGATCATCAGTGTCTCAGAAGTATTGCTGGTATTTTGTGGGACAACCGAGTACGCAATGCTGTTGTTTTAAACTGGTACTAGATAAGGTTGGCAAATCAATAAATGAAGTAGTGAATGTCCAGTCGAAGTGGTTGGGACATATGGTACGTTTTCCTTGTCACCGACTGCCTAGACGAGTGATGTTATTTGATATAGGGGTAAACTGTAAGAAAACTAGGCGTAGCTGTAAGCTGCAAACAAATACACGGTCGTACTAGAGCACGATCTGAGTCTAAACATGTGCCTTAGAAATAGCTTCAGTCTTCTATCGAGCCTCCATTGGTGGCTGATTGCGATGTTATCTAGTTGGGTTCAACGTTTAGACAAATTCGGGGGTCGCCATGTGAAAATTTGTACATCCTTGTACTTAAAGTTAGTATTTACTAGAAATAAGAGGTCATCTGAAGATAGCTTCAGCAGAAGGTCGCTATTATCTGTCCTTCGAGCCGCGACAACATACGATCCACCCAGGTTTTTTTCCTTTTCACTTAGTCTACCTACTTGGGCATTTAAGTTACCGGCCACTTTTACTATATCAGAGAGCCTTACTGTTTGGAGGAGGTCCGGAAGCTTTCTGTATAGCTAATCTTTTACCTCGTCTTAACTGCATTCAGTGGGGGTGTAGGCAGATACGACGAAGAGGCTACGGCGAGTGTCCCTATCCATCCTAGTCCTCACTGTTCCGTTTAGTCGGACAGCGCACAAGCGACTATCTACTGGGATCCAGTCTAAGAGAGCTAATTCTGCGCTAGGACTCTATGCTATACCTACACCAGTGAGACCCCGGGAAGCAGCGACAGGGCTTCCAGATACACGAAGAGTAGATCGAGCTGGTTCCTTATTTTGACAATGTGAGGTCAAATGAATGACTCTACTCGGATCCCGTATGCGCGTTTTGGAGACGCAACATACATCAATGGCGCTAGATCCTAAAGTCCTATCTAATGAAGCCTGTTGTCCTATTTGACTCAATGTTCGTACATTAAGAGCTCCAACATGTAATTTAGAACGGGGTTTCAAGAGACTAGGGATCACGTTTCGTGTACTCGAATCGTTTTCATTAGCGGTGCAGGATGATAAAGGAATGTGAGAAGGGTGAGTCGTGGCGATAAGACAAGTGTTAGGGGATGTAGTAAGGATTCGATTGTGACCGATTTGGTCTCGTGTGTTGTTACGGGTATGAGGGCGGATGTTACTTCACAGCGGCTCACACTGTGGAAGGGTGTTTCTTAAGGAACTTGAAAAAGAAGTTGGATTAGTGCTGGTCTTAGAGGCGTGAGAGCGTGACCGCAGAGCCCGAAGGACGGAAATCCGTGAGGTAAGGTGAGGTGTGACATTTTTAGGGTCAACCTTTTCTTGTCCCTTCCTTGTTAGAAGGAAGTATCGCTGCAGATGCTGGTTGTTGGAAGGAAGCACCTTACTGCTGTCACACACCTCTACAGTCAGCATAACGACTTCGCCCTCAGACCTTGAGTAGCTGTTTTTAGTCTCACCATTCTCCAATCAACCTGCCTAGCATGGTAGAACCTAGAGGAACATATGTTCCAGCCAATATAACTCTGTTCGGTTATCACGATAGGCAAGCCCGACCACCACGTCTAGGTAGCAGCTACGGTCGGGCCAAACATGTCACAAATCCATGAAGTCACTGAAAACTGGAGTGAGCCATGTTAGTAGGTGTAGACTACCTGGTTTGGATCTGCAAGCAATGGTAACCAATGGTTAGAGATTGAACGGTATGACTCAAAATCATTTGCAATGGCTCAGATGCATACAGTCTTTGTCTTCTCTCAAATCCTTAGCTTTAGAATTCCCCATAATTTTATTTTCTTTAAATTAATTTAACTGGTCCATGTTTGTGATAAGTTCGTCACTTAGTATGCTTGAGGCTATTACGAGTTTACCTTAGTCGATAAACGCGAACGAGACTTTTACCAGCTTCCAGGGAGGCTACCTGGAATACCCAAGTCGAAATAGAAGGCTTTGTAAGCGTAGAAGTATATTCTACAAACACCCAGCAATCACAATACAATCAAGCACACAACTCTCGTTTATTTATACAACATAAGAACGTCCTTGAGACAGTTAACAAAATAGCACACTAAAATACACAGCAGCCAATCACAGCGATGGATTTCCCTGGTGGGTAATGAAATCTCAAGGTCAACTGATCAGCCCATGCTGACAAAACGTGAAAACCAAAATACGGCATTATCAAGCGAATTTTGGGGGTGTAACATCCCCAACAGTTTGCTTGATTCTTATTTTCGATCCCTAATCTTTCCGATAACTGCTGATCCTCCTACTACCTCTAGGATTTGAATTGAAAATCCGATCTCTTCGCCAGTGTGGTATGGCAACTTTAATTGATGTGCGTATGTAGTAAGTCATACTTTGTAGCTGACTGACTGACTGGTTGCTTAATAATAACTGAAGGGATCGGTTTGATTTGATATCCCTTAATAATTACACTAGTTGAACACTATTATTTTAAGCGATTTATTCCACTGATATCATTTCACATTTTGTTGTAACTAAAACGAAACTGAAATATTCACTCATTTATTCCAATCAGTTATTTATATGCAATGGTTCAGCTACTCGATCTTCAGTCATTAGATAGCGAATTAAAATCAATGAATTAACGGAACCCCAGTATGGGATGAATTACTAATTTTGTAAATGCTTAAACCAGAAGTGGAGATCACAGATATATATATAATTGGTTACTGAGTTTTATGTTACCTAGGTGGTGTATTTTTTAAAACCATTTACAAAGTAATTTGTTTTTAATCCCTATTTCTGTATCAATGAGTGTCATGTTCTTACTTCCAACTTTACAGATGCCTATGCATATTTAGAATGCTCTGCTAAAACAAAAGAAGGTGTTCGTAAAGTTTTTGAAACAGCTACACGTGCCGCTTTATCTACTAAACGTAAAGGAAAGAGAACATGTGAACTTGTTTAAGAAGAAAAAAAAGAGAAGTTATCTTTTAAATTTTGATTGTTGACAGATGATAGAATACTACTGGGTTTGTGTAGAGTTGATTTAATGCTCTCTGTGTATCATCTCATTTCTATATATATACATACATTCTATACTACTTATGTGTCTGTTTTCAACAATTTTACTTCTGATTTATTCCTATATTTGTCTGTTCCTTTGTGTGTGTACTCTTCAGCGTGCTGTTCTCGTGCTAGAGGGGTTATTTGTTTTGTACTTTATGCATTTATATTTACACAATTTGTTCGTTGTTGTGTAATCTCTCTATCCCCTGATCGATGAGTCTATTGTTTCTTTACTTCTTTGTCTTTGTATTCTTTTATAACTGTTATTTGTCATCCCCCATTCATATTGATATAAGTGAATCGTAAATTTTTCAAAATGTTTATGGAATTATAAAAATTATAATTCATTTATAAGTAGTTGTTTTTGATCAAGTAAGATTTACAGAGTGTTTTTTTGTGCAATAAAAGAAGAATATGCATTCTTTTTGGTTATAGTCGATTTCAGATTGTTAATCGGACTATTCTATCCTCCTTATTATTGAATTCTCATTAATTCACGTAAAAAGCGGGGTTTTTTTTTGTTTCGTTGCCCAATATTACATAGTCTTCCATTTTTCTGTTTGTTTGATTAAATGTTATATTCTCGGCATTGAACAGTTAGCTATTGTTTTTGGATTGTGACTGTTTGGATGGAACAACTACTACACTCGTTTTATTTTGAAAAAAAAAATATACGCTGCATTTTAAAACCTTTCTAAAGAATATACTCCACACATATGACTATTTGTTATGTAATGTCATCTATACGATTACATTAATTTTGTAAATGCATGTGCTATCTCCACCATTGTGCCTCGGCACATTTATTATAGTTTTCTTTTTTTTTTGTCTTCTACAAATCAACGTTTTAAATTTACATAATATAAATTGATAAGTATTCTTGAAATAGTTTAATTATTTTCATAGATAGAATTATAGACTGGTGACAGGTTTTTTTTCATAGTTTATCCTTTAAATATTCTCTATATGTTTCGTATACAAATCTGTTCGGATAATTTTCTAGTAGTTTATACATTTCAGAAGACAGTACACGAAGCAATAACTACAGCATAAATAAAACAGCCACCAAACTATACATTGTGAGTATGAATTAGTGAAAGATTGTGAATTTAGAAACATGTGAATGAGTTATCGGGCGTTTCAAGTAACTGACACTTCAACTAGTAAAAGCTGGCCGTCATACATGACAATTATTCATGATCATACAAACGTGGGAATAATAATAATAATAACAAGACAGGCAGATTGTTGCCAATATAAATAATTCTGTCCATCAAACGGGATTATTGAGTAGTTTAATGAACTTCTTTTGTCCGCAAATATAGTACTTAGTGGAAATATGAGTTGTATTACTAACCAATCTGGTTATAGAATTCCCTAAGTTGGAGTATATAGTGAAGTAAAATTGTATCGATCTTCAGTTATAACTATATTAGAAGGCCGTACATTAAGAACCTTGAATTAGACTCAATCAGAGTTGTAGCTCTTGGTTTATTGAAATAGAACTGATTTTCCGCTCTAAAGTTAGAGGACTTTATTCGTTGAGACGTCTAGGAGACATGTTGTTTCCTTCATTATGGATGGGTGGGGGGGACAAAGATATGTCAATGAATACAGAGAATTGCCGAATATAACTTAAGTGACCTCAGTTAGTGTAGCTAATAGATGCTTGATCTCAGCTAAAATATTTTCACAGTAAAGTTTGCAAATGCATCTTAACAACTTTTAACAGGGCTTTTTTTTAGCGTTTATCTCTGTAAGTGCTACTGATATTCATTACAATACATAATGACTAACTATTACTGGATTCGATTAAATCAGTCAATGAACATATTCGCAATCGAGATTTGTACTATATTTGGTTGGTTCCTGTTATTATGACCATTAAACGAAATGAACGAGGATTTATTTGTTGCCACTCCTGATGATATCGAGGAAAAATGTAATGTTATTTAGTGAGTTATGTAGTGTAGCTTTGCTTATCAGGCTCATAAAATTCAGTTTTAAGAGGTTAAGTTCGAAGTTCTGCTGGGTGTTTAGAGTTCCTAAAATGAATACCTAGAAATCCTAATTTGGTCGAAGTTTTACGATGACTGTCGACAAGTTTACCTTGATGATGACAAAGGTCCAACTGTCTATTACTTTGAATATGTTTAATTGTGAGTCGAAATCCGATCATAACTACCCAATTCTTAAGTAATAGTTCAATATTGTCAAATAATGAATCTCTGTTTTTAACGACTAGGCCATCTGCTTTTCATCAGTTTGGGTTTTCTCTAGTTTATCGCTCAAAATAGCATTCTATACAGTTGTACTCACAATCTTATCATGACCATTTTAAAATTATGTATTCTAAAATCTATATAATACTAATTTATGGGTGTGACATGGTATAACATAACTGAACGATGATGACTTTTAGAACGAATGAATTAACGTGCTTATAAAGTTTACTGATATCCTTCGATTAGTTGACAATAAAAATGGCTGAACTATTAGTCACAATCGTATTCAGTGATTAACGGGTGCTACTGGCGATTACTTGTGTCCGAAAGGGCTCAATGCGTCATGTATGAAACTTTGGAAATTTGTGATAGGTTCGAATCACGCAGAGAGCATAAGTTGCTTCAGGATTACAGTTAGATCTTGCTGAAAGTTAGAAACTGGCAAGTTCATGGTTTTCTGTCAGCTACTTCCAAAATGTTTAAGCAGACAACATATAGCCTGTTAGCAGTTCATAATCGTTAAACATCAGTGGACATCAAATAAATTTAAAACTTTAGATGATGGTTAGGTTCTTATCTGTTATGTCAGATGATTAGGCTATTACCTATTAGAACGTAATTTATGACAACAGATATCTTGTTTTGCTTATTATTTGGTCAACACAATCTCAGAGTACCACAATTATCATATTAAATCTCAGTAAGGAATTTGAAAACTGTCCTACAATGCTCGATGTTTTTGGAGGATAAGATTTAAAGATTGACAGTCTGACGACGACTAAGCAATATATACTTTTTTTATGAGTACTTACGTTTAAATTGGAGCAAATGGTTAAACACCAAGTGTATGGAAAACATATGATTTGTAAATCTCAATTTAAAAACAACAACATTTTGTTCTGCACTTTAATCTGAATCTTTATCACAAATTTATTGTCTCTATGATGAAGTATTGTTTTCTGAGCTGGATGGATTGCCCATGTAGCTTTCATTGCTTTTTTGAGTAATATCAGCACAAACTCGAAGTAGAAGTGAGGTATTCGAACACTTAATGATAGCTTAGCTAAGAATATTAGGAATCCGACTATTAGCCAGACTATCTCGGAAAAGGATGGGCTTATTATTCATCCTCAATTAAGGAGATGGATCGATGTGTAGAACACTTTAAGGATCGGTTCAACTGGCCTTCAACCACACTTTGGATACCCACGATTTCCAGTCAACCTGAGCCGCAAGTCCTCTGACCCTTAATGAAATTGAAAAGGCTATACGAAATCTAAGGAGAAGGAGAGCGGCAGGTCCTGACAGGCTTACCTCTGAAACAGTTAAGGGTGGTGGTCCAGTTTTTGCAGTAATATTGAGTGAGATCTTAGGTAGAATCAGGGAAGTGAGTATAATCCCCGTTTGAATGGTCTCAGTCTATAAAAATGAACAAAGGTCCTCTTGTGACATTTACAGAGGAAGCAGTTGAACTAAAATATTGGCTTCAATAATCTTTCGACGCCTAACTAGAGCTCGTGAAGAGCAGACTCGAGAAAACCAGGGTGGTTTCAGATCTGGACGTGGACATATAGACCGCATCTTCACACCTCTTCAGGTCTTAGAACATGGACTCAAGTTCAGACGTCCCACAATAGTTGTCTTCCTGAACCTTAATGCGACAAGCTCTCTCCTCGAACACCACTGGTCGAGTTAGAGCTCATGGCGAATTGATTACCTCAAGTGGTATCTGTCAGGGTTGTCCACTCTTCCCATTCTTGTCTAACTTTGTCGTAGATATGCCTCTAGATCTAACATATTCGTCTGACTTTTCAGGAGTAGACCTACCAGGAGATTTATTGGTTGACTTAGAATATGCCGATGATATAGTTCTATTCAGTGAAGTTACTGACAAAATGCAGAGTCTTCTGACTACTCTAAGCAACAATTCAAGCATGTTCGGCATGCGGTTCTCCCCCGTCGAAACGTAAAATGTTGCTTTAAGATTGTTTTGTATCGGCACCAGAACTAGTGATAGGGAGTGAAGTAGTTGAGTGTGTAGACCGTTTCACTTATCTGGGGGAGTCTCATCAGTGTTTATGGCTTGGTGACAGACGAAATCTCAGCACGGATACAGAAAGCTCAATTGGCTTTTGCCAACCTGCGTCACTTATGACGTAGGCGAGATATCGATTTGCTAACCAAAGGACGAGTGTACTGTGCAGTAGTTCACTCCGTCCTACTTTATGGCTTTGAAACATTCCCGGTAAGAGTTGAGGATATTCGTAGGTTATTAGTATCCAATATAGATGTTTTCTATCATTGCTCATATATCCTGGGACAACCGAGTAAGCAGTGTTGTCATCAAGAAGCGAGTACTAGGTACGGATAAAAAATCAATAAATGAATTAGTGAAATTTCATCATTCGAAGTGGTTGGGACATGTGATACGTTTGCCTTGTCACCGACTGCCTGGACGCCCTGTTTTGTGGTGTAAAGTTAGGTTGAAAGAAAGCTAAGACTGGCCAAACCAAAACATGTCATAAATCCATAAAGACAGTGACAACCAGACTAAGTCATTTTGGTAGATGTAGGCTACCTGGTCGGGATCCGCAAGATGATAGTAATCGATGGTTAGATATCTTGAATGACATGGCCCAAAGTCGTTTGCGAAGGCGCCCGTATTCTCTCAATTTCTGATCTGAATCCCTCATCATCTTCATCTTTCTCTTTTTAAGTTTATTTCACTAGATTATACTTTTTGAGTGATATCTTCGAACCTTAATCTTCTCCATTTCCGCTAATACTTCTACTACCTCTACCAATATGCGTGTCTGATCTAATGTGGTTGTAACTGACTGACTGTAAGAGACCATTTTATAATTGGCAATTTACATACTATCAGAATCGGAAAATCTTGTTGAAGAGGTTAAAATATAAGAGTATTCGCTAACAGTGAAACGATAACAGATGAAATATCGACGAGATGTTAAATGAATGCATATGGTTATATTGACGATCAGCTTTATAAAATAATAAGCATAAATTTTCTTGAGAAAATAAATTAAAAGCTTGATTAAGATTGTTCTCAGGCAGTTAGAAAATAAATCTTGAAAGAGTTAATTTTACGTCGTTTTTCAGGAAAACAAAAGCACCCGAGGCCGTTATACTACGACTTGAACATTTCAACTTGATCCTCTGATATCGTTGATAAACAAAAAGGATCTGTTCTAGATTTAGTAAAGAAAGGTCAGCCTTCTTTAATTGATAAATATCTACAATTCAAAACAACAGTTACACAACACCTAAGTCAGAATTCTCGATATAAACATAAACACAGTTCTACACTATGAGGCTAAAAACTTAAAACACGACTTAATCATTATCAAAAACATAGAGAACTTTATAAACACTTGTCTATGCAAAGTACTACATATTCGTTGGTCAGACAGTATCAGCAACAACCAACTGTGTCATAGAATAAACCAACTTCCAGCTACGAGGAAATTAGCGAAAGATGCTGGTGGTGAATAGGGCACACATTGTGGAAATAATCGTAATTGGTTGCAAAGTAATCCGTCATTCATTAACTTCAAGGGCAAAGGAAGAGAGGCAATTGAACGAACACATGATTCGAAGATAGCAGTGAGATATCAGCAAACAGAGTAGGACTGGTGAAGTA